GCCTTTTCCTCTAAGTCTCCCTTTCCTTGTGCATGTGTGCCTTAAAAATCTCTTATCTGATATTTTCTTAGTTTCAGGAATGAGTGAAAGCATGTAGGTGGTTCAACTGGCATTTTTAGCAGCAAGGCACCCAATGACTGATTTTCCAAATGGGAAACTAAGGCCTGGAGGAGGAAGGAGCATGATGAAGTCCCAAAGAACCCAGCTCTCCTGAGCTCTCATCTTTCAGAGGATGGAAGAACCCCAGTGCACCCCTCAAACCTTAGAATTTGACTCACTGACTTGGGTTAAATTAAAAGAATTGGTTTTGGGGTCAGATACTATGGGTATAAAAACTAGTTCTCCCACTTTTTAACAGCGTGAAAACTTTGGGGAAGCCACTTTCTCTCTCTGGGCCTCAGTTTGCTTATCTGCAAAATGGGAACAACAGTATCTTGTCAGATTCTGTGTGTGTGTGTATAGCAAGGTTATTTGATACACCATATGTAGAGTGGCCAGCACATGGCCCTGCAGAAATTCGATAGATGCATGTTAAGTCAGAGTTCCTTCCTCATTCCCCACGGGGTGAGAGACTGTATCAGTGATGACAACAAAGCCTCCTTCCCCAAGGCAGAGCCCCACCTGTAGCCAAGCCCTACACAGTCAAGGCCAGGTGGCAAAACTCTCAAGCCCTGACAGGCCATCTGAGTTAGAGGGAGGCATGTGACCTCACCGGTCTATCAACATGCCAGAGAGCTTGACTTGGAAGGCAAACCTGGCTTGTCAAACCCTAAGAAAGTCATGAGGAGCCTTGGGTCACGCCTGTTTCACTGGGATGCTTGGGCTGAGGGACACCCCCATTCCTTGCTGATTTGTAACCTAGAACTAGTGATCTGAGATGATTCTCTCTTTTTTTTTTTAAATTTTTAACTGGAGGATAATTGCTTTACAGTGCTGTGTTAATTTCTGCTATACAACAAGGTGAATCAGCTATAACATACATACATCTCCTCCTTCTTGAGTCTCCCTCCCACCCCCATATCCCACCCCTCTAGGTCATCACAGGTCACAGAGCTGAGCTCCCCCACACTATACAGCAGCTTCCCACTAGCTGTCTATTGATTCCTTCTTTAACATTCAAAATGATGGTGTCTTTGAGCCTGATGGAACACTCAGTAGTAGCACTGAAGTCATATGACAGGACTGCCTCAATTACTTTCTATAAGGAATTGTCTATTCTTACTGGTTCCAGGGATTGGTTAAAAATCTTGGTCATTTCAATGCCAACAAATTAATAATATCAAATAAATGTTGATATTATCTATCGTGAGCTTAAGAATATGATAACTAGTATTCCAAGTACAAGCCCCGTAACACACCAGTGGAAGGTAACACTATTATTATGTCAGTTTTATACTTATTTTTGGCCACACCATACAGCATGTGGGATCTCAGTTCCCCAACCAGATGCCCTCTGCATTGGAAGCACAGAGTCTTAACCACAGAGAAGTCCCTGTCAATTTTACAGATGAAAAACTTCATGCAGAGAGAAGCAGCATCACTTGTACAAAGTTGAACAGCTAGGAAGTTGCATGTCCTGGATTGGACCCCAGCAGTCCAGCTACAGAGTCCACATTCTCAAAAGATTATGTAATGTATTTCTTATCAAGAGAATATTTATTGAACTACTAATATGTTCTAAGGGAATTATGCTAAGTGGTTTACCTAGACCAGTGGTTTTTGGCTGGGGGCAACTTTGCCCACCCCGGGGCAGTGTCTGCATTCATTTTTGGTTATCACAACTCTGGGTGGGAGATGCTATAGGCAGAGCCCAGGAATGCTGTTAAATATCCACAACACACAGGACAGCTCCCACCAAGAATGTGTCATTGCTGACACTTGGCTCTTTTCCCTACCCTAAATTTTTATTTTCAAAACTTTGTATCTACTGGAAATTTGAAAGCATAATGAGATGAATATTGATAGATCCTTCACCTAGATCTACCAATTTTAGCATTTCCCCACATCTGTTCTGTCTATCCCACCCTCCACTCTTATTCTCTCAGTAGGATGCCTGCCTGGATCATAAAAGCCCTCAATATATGATTATTGGGAAAAACCCATCCCGTATTCAAAATGTGACCATCAATGTGTTACTGATCTCACTTAGGCTGACATCATAGTTTCTTCATTCCCCGCCCCCTCCCCAGACCTTTTTTGGAATTAACTTGCAGACATGATGTCACACGAATGTCTTAGGAACAGGACATTCTCCTACACAGTTACAAAGTCATTACTATACCTAAGAAAATCTTCCAGTTGCCTGAGAATATCTTTATGGCTGCTTTCCCCTCTATCCATGGTCTAGTCAAGGTGCAAACACTTCATTGGATTTATTCCTCCTTAGACTTTTTTCATTTTGTAATCTAGAACATTGCCTCTCTTTGTTTTTTTCATAGCACTATTTTTTGAAAGTGTGTAGGGTTATTATCTTGTAGGATACTGTACAGTATGGATTTGTCTGGTTGTTTCTTCATGATTTGATTGAGAGTAAACATTTTTTGTCAAGAATCCTCGGTGATGTTTTTTTACTGCATCACATCAGAAAGTATACAATGTCAGTTTGCCTCATTATTGGTGATGCTAATTTAACCCCTGTGTAAGGCAGTGGTGGCTGCAGCTCTTCAATATAAAAAATAACTTTTACCCCCCAAAGTTAGTAAGTTATTCAGGGGGTGATACTTGGGGTCCCTGTATACATCCTGACCTCCAAAACAGGAAGGTTTGTTTCTCTATACACTTGTCACTATTTCAGACTACAGAAAGGAAAAAAAATTATCTATTTGAAACTGAATTTCACTAGGGATATTAATATCTCCCTCCAGGGCTCTGGTAAGAATAATGCCATGGACCGAATTGTGTTCCCCAGAAATTCATATATTGAAGTCCTAACCCCTATTGTCGGAGAAGGCAATGGCAACCCACTCAAGTACCCTTGCCTGGAAAATCCCATGGACAGAGGAGCCTGGCAGGCTGCAGTCCATGCTGTCATGAAGAGTCGGACACAACTGAGCAACTTCACTTTCACTTTTCACTTTCATGCATTGGAGAAGGAAATGGCAACCCACTCCAGTGTTCATGCCTGGAGAATCCCAGGGGCGGTGGAGCCTGGTGGGCTGCCGTCTATGGGGTCACAAAGAATCGGACACAACTGAAGTGACTTAGCAGCAGCAGCAGCAACCCCTATTATAATAGTACTTGGAGAAGGGGGCCTTTGGGAGGTAATTAGGGTTAGATGAGGTTATAAGGATGGGGCCCTCATGATGGGATTAGTGACCTTATAAGAGACACCACAGGGCTTGCTGTTTTCTCTTCTCTCTCTGCCATGAAGACACAGTGAGAAGACGGGAAGAGGGTCCCACCAGAACTCAACCATACTGACACTCTGATCTCAGGATTCCAGCCTCCAGAACTGTGGGAAAATAAGTGTCTGTTGTTAAAGCCACCTGGTCTATGATATTTTGTTATGGCAGTCCCAGCTGATTAAGACAGATTAAGTGCTAAAACCCTCATGACGGTCTCTAGGACATTATTTGACCTAGAAACAGCTAATGAGTGTAATGCAGTTCTTCTCTATAATCTGAGATTCTGGGTTTTCCCCTGAGGTGCCAAGGAAAAGGGCAGGGCTGGGACATTGAGTAACCTACTCACTGTCCTCCTCCCAGACCAAATTTCTCAAAGCGGGGGCTTCACACAGGGGGAGTGTTTAATGACCCAGCCAAGGCATGGACGCCCTGACACCATGGCTTAAAGCTGGCCCCTTGGTCCAAACTGCAGATGCTGGAGGAGAGGATTGTGTTTACAACTTATCACCTGTCACCAGCTGTAAGACCCTGGGTATGCTATTAGTCTTTTCTATGCTGCAGATTTTTCATCTGTTACAGGAAGATATTAATTGTGCTTCCCCACAGAACTGTTATGAGAATTAGCTGAAATAACATATTCAGACTGTAGGTGAGCATTTAGTAAGCACTCAGTAAACATAGAAAAGGATTAGTTATTAAAAATAGTGGCAGAAGATAAAAAAAAAACCCTCAAAACATCAGAAAAGGTCAATGGGCTCTTTGAGAGCTATGGATCTGGCATTTCCCTACACTGAGAATGAAGGACTGGGGTGCCTGTTCTCCTGCAGATATTAGGGTAACAAGGGAAACAGGAAATTTCCCCCACTAGGAAATACCAACAGATGTATAAGCAGATGTACTGTGATAGTGCTATGAACAAAATAAACAGCCATTACAGAGGCTAATGCTGGGGAAGGGCATCTGAGGATGGAGCTGTCAGAAGCAAGCCTCTCGGAGGAGACGACTGGAAGGGTGAGAAGGAGCCAGCTGTGCAAATGGATCAGTAGAAAATCTTTCTAGGCAGGGGAGCAGCAAGGACAGAAGCCCTGAGGTAGAAAGGTGCAGGGCAGGCTAGGGGAGCAGAATGGGTGTGCTTAGCACATCTAGATCCTAGTGACTGGGAGCATGGGCAGAGGTGGGAGTGGCTGGCAGGAGTCTGATCACATGGGGCTGTGTAAGCCATGGAAAGAGTGATGTGAAAAAATACACACAACATAAAATTCACCACTTAACCATTTCAAAATATACATTTCAGGCAGCCATCAACACCATCCACCTCCAAAACGTCTTCATCTTTCCAAACTGAAATTCTATACATTAACCAAAAACTACCCCCGCTTCCCCCACTCACTAAAGGGCTTCAAATAAGGAGATAGGTAACTCAACTGGCATTCTGAGATGAAAAATGAATGAAAGGAAATGGAATGAAAATGGCAGATGAATCATAGCAAAGCACACGTAGGAGCAGGAAAAGGGTGGTGGTTTGTCCAAGAAGTGAGAGGAAGAACACAGGCAGATCTGAGAAGCATCGAGAGGCCACACATGCAGGACCCAGGGTGGCCATTTCCTCCCCCTCGAGGTCATGTTAGTGGGGGTGCTGGTGTGGGAGGTACTCACAGCTGACCTGGGAGCCAAGCTTGTGCTCCCAGACGGCGTGCAGCTGCTGATACTCCTGCTGTGCAAGCTCCAAGCGCTGCTGCTTCACTTGGTAGATCTCCTTTTGCGCACTCAGGGCCTCCTGGGCCACCACCAGGTAATCTTTCAGCATGTGCTCCTGCTCCCGCCGCCATTGTACCCGGGGATCCTCAATCTGAGTGGTTTCTGGAACAGACCCCAGAGACCCTACATTAGCACCTCAAAAATGTCTGTTGAATTGGTGGCCTGTAGAATCTACCAAAGAACGAAAAGTGTAATAAATATAAAGTCACAATAAATGTAAATGGGTTAAACTTGCCTATTGAATAGCAGAGACTCTTCATTTGGATTAAGCAAACAAACATACACAAAAAACCAGGAACAATTTCCAAACCTGCAGTTAATCAGAGAATAGCCAGAATGATCAGATATGAATTCCGATGTAAGACAGAGAGGCTCAACGATATTATAGATGCTTAAAATCATTCATTTTGGTAAACAGTAAAGGAAAATAAAATAAATGATATTGCAAAAGATGTGTAGACATACTGTGTCCACACAGTATGTAAACTAGAACAGCCTTCCTAAAGGGCTATCTGACAATGAAAATCAAGAGACTTAAAATGTTAATACCCTTCATCCAATAATTCCTCCCATGGTAATTTATTACAAAAAGTAATAAATTCAGGCAAAGATGCGTTTGTATAAAATCATCTTCATCATAAACAAGCACTTATTTAATGTTTACTCTATGCCAAGCACTATTTTATTTACTTTGTATCTATTTACTCCTCTAATCCTCACATTAACTCTATAGAGAAAATTCTTTTATTACTCTGGTTAAACAAAAGAGAAAACTGAGACATAAAGAGGTTAAGTGACGTGCTCAAGGTCACACAAGAAATTACTGCTCGAATACGTATGCTATATTTACACAATACACTAAAACAGCCATTAAAAATAATGTCTTTGGAAAAAATTTTGAAAAAAAAAAACAAAAAACCCAGAAAGGTGCTTATGATAAAAAAATGGTGTAAGTATTGAGGTCTCAACAGAATTGGAGACAATTTAGCAACTAAACAATAAAAAGAGCTGGGTACAAAATTGCATAAATAGTTTTGTATTTATCAAAATACATATGTACATTCTCAAACAGATTAGGAGGAAACAGCAAATTATCGACAGTAGATATGTCTTGTTGGTAGAATGCTTTTTCTTCATTCTTCTTTATGTTTTAAATTATGTATCCAATAAAAATACACAGTGACAACTTAGAAAAAAGGAATAGGACAAAAAAGTGTTTTTAAAAGGGTAGCTGGCAGCTGAGCAGATATGGAAGAGGTCAAAGCAATGTTAATGTCAAAGAATCAATGCCCATCGACTGCCAACTCCTCAGTCATTTCCCAGCTGGAAGGTGGGGTATGGGATGACGGACACACCAGAAATTATATAATCACAGCCATATGGTAAATTCAGCTTGCAGGTAAGTTTTGCTTAGCCCAAAGAACTTTAGTAATTTTGAATTGATTACTGGTATATAAAAACAAGGAGCTTTTTTTTTGTATTCATTTTTAATTTTTTAAAATTGGAACATAGTTGCTTTATAATATTGTGTTAGTTTCTGCTATACAACGAAGTAAATCAGGTTTGCAGTGTTAGTTGCTCAGTTGCGTCCAACTTTTTCGGATCAGGTACGTGTATACATATAAGCCCTTCCTCTTGAGCCTCCTTCCAACCCCCACCCCCACACCTCCAGGTCATCACAGAGCGCTGAGCGAGCTTCCTGCGCCACTCAGCAGCTTCCCACTAGCTCTCTGTTCTACGCATGGTGCTGTACGTATGTCAATGCTACTCTCAATTCATCCCAAGCGCTCCTTACCCTACAGGGTCCACACATCTGTTCTCTATATGTTGGCCTCTTTCTGTCCTGCAAATAGGTTCATCATACCATTTTTCTAGATTAACAAGGAGTTTTATACATTAAAATCTTGATCTCTGGTTTTTCTTGATCATTCGGAAGATTTGGCCACCATGGGTCCACAATCTGTCCGCTGCATTCATTGATGTCCTGTGTCTGGCTCCCGGGGAATAGAGTCAGAGCCTCCGCTCACAGGTCCTTTCACTCTCAGTCCTCCTGAATAGGCCCCAGTGAGCATTTCCAACGAAAGAAAGAAGAGACGGGGGAGAATGATCACAGAGGTAGCAGGGCGGCGTTCGCATGCCTGCCAGTGATCACTGTGTTACAATGGGCAGGCTATTTAGCCTCTCTGGATCTACTTTTCTGACTATTAAAGAGAACAAGCAGCCCCACCTCACTGCTTCCCTGGAAGCTATAGAGCACTCACCCAGGTAAAGCAAAGAAACGAAGGGGAGAGTAAAGACACAACTATTCACCGAGGCCAGTGTTTGAATTATCTGTGAACAGCTGCTCTTCAAGCTCTCCTCCTCCCTTTTTCTGGGAAAGAAAACAAGGTGTGAACATGGCCTGTTTGTCCTGAACTAAGCACACTCTGAGGACATCCTCCCACACCCAGCCCCTTCTATGTTCACTCTCCTTCCTTAACTTCTATCTCACCAGAATAGATACCTTTACACCAGGGCAGGTTCTTAGAGACCCCCTTGGTCGACTGTTTATTTCCTTGTTTACTTATTTGTCTGGCTATGTCAGCTCTTAGCAACATCATGTGGCATCTTCCGTTGTGGGCACAGACTCTCTAACTCTGACTTGAGGGCTCAGAGCAGCGCGTGGGCTTATCTGCTCCGTGGCATGTGGGATCCTAGTTCCCCCACCAGAGATCAAACTTGTGTCCCCTGCTACGCAGGGCAGATTCCCAACCACTGGACGACCAGGGAAGCCCTTGGTCAACTATTTCTCAGTTCTTGTTTCTATTAAAGTTAAACATGGACATAGTTAAAGCATTCAGCATGTCACAAAATCAACTCTGTACAAAATCATCCCTTCATCCCTCTCCCCTTCATTCGCTCTCTCTCTAAAAGGTAGCTACTTCCAACAAACGTTTAATTGATTGAATACAACCATCATTGAGACCCAGTTCTCCTTCCTCCCCGAGGCCCCAAGCCTCTACCTACAAATACACCGCACCCTCTACACACAGCTCACAATTCACAGGCTTCACATACTCCTCACCCCACCACACACCTGCTTTCTACATGCACCACACAAGCACCCATGTGACTAAGACTACTGAATTCTCCAAGGGCTTGAATTACAATTGTCTTAAAAACAGCTGAACATCTGGAGAAAGTCCAACCTTGTTGCTATGCAAAGGAATGCAAAATGAAACACAATGAAGTAACAGCTTAAACCTGTGATGAATGTATCAAAAGTAAAGAAGTGAAATTAGTCATATACTGATCAAGGTATGAGGAAAACAGTACCCTCATTGCTTGTAGTAATACAGATTGACTCGACCTTTTAGAAATATTATCAAACTAGGAAGAGTTACTAGAAGTCTCATAAGTGTCCATAACCTTTCACTTGGTGATCCTACATTTGGAAATGTGACTCCAGGAAAGTATCATAGAAGAATAAAGCAATATGCTTAAAGATTCTCCCTCAAGTGTTATTTTTTTATAACAAACAAATGGAAAGAACCCAAAAGGTCAGTTGTACTGGGTATTACGCTACACTTATTTTATGTGTTATAATATATTGATGCATCTGTTTCATACATTAAAAATGGCAAATATGAAGACTATGTAGCATCTCTCAAATATTCATGATGTAGTGTGAAAACAGAAAACACAATCTGATCACTGATTAAAACCATCTAATCATGATAAATAAAATCAATGCAAGAACATGAAGCTACAATCACTGTAAATTTGAGAAATGCCTACAAATTAACAAATAAATATTTAATAAATAAATGAATACTCTCTATATGCCAACAACTCCCAAATGCCTACCTTCAGCCCAGATCTCTTTTCCAAACACCAGATTCCTACATTAAACTGACCAACATCTTCTTTCAGATGGATAACAGGCTTGGAAGATGTGACCCATCCCAGCAAGCCCTTGTTCTTCCTTCCTAAACAAATCACTCCTCTTGCAGTTTTCTCCATCCAATGATGGCAACTCCATCCTGTAACCTGCTCAAAGAGGCTCATTCATTCCTTTTTCTTCCACACCCCACATGTAATCTGTCAGGAAGCTTTGTTGGCTCTATCTTGAAAACACCTCCAGCCTCAGGCCACTTTTCACCACCTCCACCACTATAGCCTTGGTCTGGGCCACTGTCCTCTGTCACCTGGACTACCGCAATATTCTTTCACAAGTTTTCCTATGTCTGTCCTTGTTCCATTGTCTAGTCTCAGCAAAGCAGCCAGAATGACCCTTTTTAAGACATAAAACAGACCACACCACTCATCTGCTTAAAATTCTCCATGCTAAGTCGCTTCAGTCATGTCTGACTCTTGGTGACCATACTATGGACTGTAGCCCACCAGGCTCCTCTGTCCATGGGATTCTCCAGGCAAAGATATTGGAGTGGGGTGCCATTTCCTCCTCTAGGGGACCTTTAATGGCTCCCATCATGTGGAATAAAAGCCCAAGCCCTTCAGGTGGATCGCTGCCTCATCCAGGCCCTGCTACCACCTGGCCTGATGCCCTCCTCCCCACTTCCTCGCAAATTCTGCTATATGCACACCTGCCTCCTTGTCACCCCTTGAGAAGCAAAACATTATCACACATTGGAGTTTTTGCTCAATCAACCCTCTCTACTTGAAACTCCCCCCACCTCCTTCCTGTCTTAGTTCAGAGAGCATTCTCTCAACAGTCCCTCCCCTGCCACCCACAAATGCACCCAGCACACCTCAGCCCCATGCTCTGCTTCCCCCTTTTCTCATAATCCTGATAATTTTAAAATATACTACATAGGTGGGAGGGGGGACCGGGATGGGGAATACATGTTAAAAAAAAAAAAAAAAAAGATACACTATGGTTGTGATAAAAAATAAATAAATAAAAAAAAATATATATATATACTACATAATTGGCTTACTTATTCTGTTTATCTTCTGCTGCTTCTGCCAAAATGAAAGTTCTGTGAAGGCAAGGATCATTGCCACCTTGCACTCTCATCTACCCCATGCTCCCAGTGCAGTGCCTAGAACATTGTAGGACGTCGATAAATATTTGCTGAATGAATGGATGCTTGATGGTGGATTTAATTTGTTGTTCAATTCTATCGTGTCTATAACTCTGTAACAGTAATCTCAGGGGCTTTCCCTGGTGGTTCAGTGGTAAAGAATCTGCCTGCCAATGCAGGGGACACAGGCTTGATTCCTGTTCCAGGAAGATCCCACATGCCACAGAGCAACTAAGCCTGTGTGCCGTAACTATTGAGTGCTCTAGAGTCCAGAAGCTGGAACTACTGAAGCCTGTAAACCTAGAGCCAGTTCTCTGCAGCAAGAGAAGCCACCTTAATGAGAAGCCTGTGTACCACAACTAGAGAAAAGCCCACGCAGCAGTGAAGCCCCAGCACAGCCAAAAATAAATAAATAAAAGTATTAAACAAAACAAAAGTCGTTTCAGTCACTCACAGAGGATTGGTCTGCGTCCAAGCTCTGAATGCGTGGGCCTTGATGGTCACTTGCATACCACCATTTGTATCACTGGCTCCGTCCTCTAGAAGTGGTAGAAGCGGTGCCCTCTATCCCATGGGCACACTTTCCAGCCAAAAGAAACCCTGCAGCCTGACAGCTGGCAAAACTACCAGAGAGAATTCTTCCTATCATGGTTTTCATTTGCTCACCTTCCTATACACACCCCCATTTCTGCCACCATCCCCTCAAGGATACACTCTACTATTGCATAATCCTCTTTCCATCTCTGCAACGACTCCCAGAACCACCTGAAAATCCCACTCCTGCCATCAAATTTCAATGAGGGGGATTCACTCAGCAATTAGAGACAGGAAAGGATGAGTGAGGGTTCCTGTGCATCAGTGTTTAACCCAATATACTATGCAGACCTCCAAGCATTAACCTCCTTCCCCATACACTCAGTTAGACATATTTACTTCTCATTATCCAATATGCAATCATGAGTGCTAATAAAAACCGTTGCTACCCCCAACAATGCAATTAATGTCATTAGCTGTCTCTCAGAAACGCCTATGCTTTGGTGCCAGTAAGGCTGCTCGCTTACCCCTTTAGTGATGCATTCATGCATGTATGCCCTTTTCTAGGTAGCAAAGGTCGAGTGCACACCTACTGTGTGCCTTGCCAGGCAAAGGTCTGGGGAACCGCCCTGACAACTAAATGTTTATATTACAGAATGGTGCGGGGCACAGCGGAGATTTGACCAGGAGCTACAGAAACTCAGGAGAGGAAGTGGATGGAGAAGCCCAACTCCACTCCCAGGACGAGTTCAAATCCCAGCCCTGCCATGCTTTGGCCCTGACAGTTGGGCAGTCAATCTCTGTCTCTAAGTTCCATTCGTGAGACAGTCAATCATCCTAGTGCTTCCCAGGTGGTGCCAATGGTGAAGAATCTGCCTGCCAGTGTAGCAGACTCAGGTTCAATCCCTGGGTAGGGAAGAGCCCCTGGAGTAGGAAATGGCACCCCACTCCAGTATTCTTGCCTGGAAAATCCCATAGACAGAGGGGCCTGGCAGGGTCTCAAAGAGTTGGATACAACTGAAGTGTCTTAGCACGCACGCACAGACACACCAGTGGAAGAACCAGGCTCTTTCCCTTCTGGCACTCTATAGTCCATGGGGTCACAAAGAGTTGGACATGACAGAGCACACACGCACAATCATCCTAGCATCCCACAGGGGTGTTGGGAGGACTGCATGAGATGATGCCTAATCAAGTGTCTTGACCAGCACATGGCGCAGAGTGCATGCTCAGGAAACAAGGGCTACTAGGATTCAGTGCCCTAATCTCAACCTTCGGACACGTGCCACTGCATTCCATTCTCCTCTTGCATGAAAGGACAAGAGGAATCCCACAGTTCAGAAGGCTGAGATCGAGACAGAAAAATCCTCTTTCCTCTATTACACATGATCAAATAGGGCAGTGAATTCCCGAGGACAGGAATAATCTTGGCCAAGAAGGTGCACAATGGATGAGGCCCAAGTACACATCAACTCTCCCTGCCCGAAAGACCTCAACCTGGGTTCTTCCACCTGTCAGACAACATGCTTCTCCCCTTCTCAACCTATACTTCCATTAAAGTACCAGAGACAAAGACACTAGGAATCTTCATTCTGGATCAGGATATCCAAATTGGACCACAGATCCAAATTGAGGGTGGGCTGACTGGTGTGATGGGCTGGAGATACATACCTCACTCAGACCATCCATTATAGACACATGCTGTATGCTGCTGGGGACTTACCCTAGGGGCAGTGGTTGCTAAAAAATAATCTGGGGACGACACGGACACATCTACCTTCTGTGAAAAAGATCTGCATGCGTGAACCTCCCTCCCACCATCCCTGCCCTCTAGGTCATCACAGAGTACCATTTTGAGCTTCCTGAGTCATATGGCAAATTCCCACTGGCTGTCTATCTTATATACGGTGCATGGAAATCAATGAAGTTGCTCAGTCATGTCTGACTCTTTGTGACCCCATGGACTGTAGCCTGCCAGGCTCCTCTGTCTATGGAATTCTCCAGGCAAGAACACTAGAGTGGGTAGTCATTCCCTTCTCCAGGGTATCTTCCCAACCCAGAGATCAAACCCAGGTCGCCTGCATTACAGGCAGATTATTTACCATCTGAGCCACCAGGGAAGCCCTGTGGAAATCAATATATGTTAAAAAAAAAAAAAAAAGAATATTATGTACGTGCACACACGACTGGGAAGTTTCTGGAGTGATACACAAGAAATGGCTAGCAGTGGTTACTTCTGTAAAATTGGGGAGATGGGTTGTGAGACATAGAGTTCTAGATTCTATTTAAAACTCTTCTAAACTGTTATTTATATATGAGCATACATTATCTATCTATATCTACACTGACATCTCTATCCAACTCTGTGTGAAAAGAAACACAATCTGGCTTCACAAGTCCCTGCGGGTAGCGTTTCCAGACGTGGGGGCTGGCCAGGAGGCGGAGGGAGGTAGCGGGGACTTACTGGTGTTGTGGTCTATGAAGTAATCTCCGACCTGTGGGTCGTACGCCTCTTCCCATCCCAGTGGCAGTTCGTCACTAATGCAGTCGGCAAAGGTGAGCGGTTTGGTATACCTGGCAAGGGAGAGGAGAAAGAGACTCCGTCAGCCTACGGTCCCCAGGGAGCTGCATTCGTGGCTGCCTACAGCCTCCCTGCCCCACTGGGCTGGCCCGCCAGATGCAGAAGCTCTGCGCCCTGGCCCCGTTGTCCCCGGGAAGATGAACGCGTATTGGAGCAGCAGGATAAGGTCACCTGGGAGGGAGGCGGGGAATCTGTTCTGGTCCCAACTTTGCCACCAACTTGGAAGGGATTCGAGCGAGTCGCCTGCCTTCTCTGGGCCTCGCTGCTACGCCTGAGTGAGGGGTCACAGGGAAGGGCTCGAAGGTCAAGCCTGGCTTTTGGACTCAGACTCGAATCTCTCTCTGGCTTCTCCACCTGCAGGGCACTTGGCCCACTCCAGCCCCAGCCGTCCTTCAGGCTCTGTCCATGTTTGTCTTACCTATTTCCCCTCTGAAAAGTTAGCTCGCTACAGCATCTAGAAGAACAGATGTTCCCTCTCTGTGAGTTTGGCCAAATGCAGTAATTTTTTTTTTTGCTTCCTGGGCCAGTTCCCAGATGCCTGTACCCACTGCTGTCCTTCTCTGTACAATCCAGGCCAAACTGATCTTTTAGCCATAACCACCCTCGAAGTCCCCATATTGGGGCTTCCCAAATGGGGAGTGAGATGGTGGTAACCACTCAGTCTTGGCAACTACATCAGATAGACAAACCACCCAACTAAATGGACGAAGGTTTGTCAGGGCTCAAAAGCATCACAAGCCCTTGGTTCAGCACTTTAGCCAGCATGCAGGGAGCAGGGAATCTGGATACACTGAAGTCAGCCTGAGTGGCCCCTTTGGATGGCCCGGTTAGCTTCTCCCCATCACAGCATCTGCCTAAAATACACACACATAATATTCTCCCTGGAGTGCTGCAGTCCACGGGGTTGCAAAGAGTCAGACACAACTTAGCAACTGAACAACAACATTCTCCCTCTCCTGTCTGCTCCCGTCCCCTCCCAATTCTGGAAGACTGAAAGGCTGTGCTTCAACACTCTTTCAACAGACTGGCAAAATGAGGTACAATGCAACAGGAGGAAAGATCAGTGGGAATGGGGTCTAGGATTCCTGGTCAAGAACTTCCCTCCCAGTCACAGGAGATGACTCTCCTAGCCCATGCAGTCTCCTTCCCTCTTAAACCCACCCCAAATCAAGCTGAAGGCAAAATATGTGCTGAGACTTCCCTGGTGGTCCAGTGGTTAAGACTCTGTGGTTCCAAGGCCGGGGACCCGGGTCCAATTCCTGGTCAGGGAACTAGATCCTGTCTGCTGCAGCTAAGACCCAGCACAGCTAAATAAATTTAAAAAAAAAGAAAAGCAAAATGTGGTGGGAAAAAAGAAACACTGAAAGAGCCCCTGGTGGACAGACCTACTGTGTTCACATACCACTAAATATGCAGGGTCTGGTAGACTGAGAACAGCATCTACTGACTGAAGGAATGGACAGCCCCAAAGTTCTACCAATCATGCTGCTGTATTGTGGGAGACAAGAAGGGTGAGGCAGAGGTCTGTATGATATACACTAGACTAAGCCCCATCCAATAAGGATTCAGTAGGCATCACTTCTTAGCTGTGTAAGTATGGCAACTTAGTGTCCCTCTCTGAGCCTCAGTATTTTTATCTAAAATGTGGGGATAATAACTCTCCAAGTTGTCAGGTTAAATAAAGTCATGATTGTAAAAACATTTATATCCTGGTGCGCATGAATGTGCAAAGAACACTCTTCTCCATTTCCCAGAAGGGGAAACAGAGACTAAGAGAAAGATGAAACAACATTCTCAGTGTCTATACCAACGACATTCAAGCAAGGCACTCTGCCTTCAGAGCCCCTGCTGTGAACCAAAATTGACATCTTCAGCTGAGCCCCAATGAAAATTACAAGCCACTGTCTTAAGAGTGAAAAATGAAGAGCTGGGGAAGACACAGGTGATTTCTTTAGGCCAGAAGGCTCTTCATTTGGGAGCACCTAGGCCAACCGGATAAAGTTTGTAAAAAATTGTCTTCAGCCCAACCCGCCACTACACCTCAAGCCCTGCCCAGACTTCAGAAGCAAGAGACCATGTTTCTCAGTGCCTCCTCCTCCTTCTCAAACTCCTGTGAAAACGGTTCGTTCTCACTTCCTTATGGAGAATGAAGACCAGTGACCAACAGTGAAATCTCATCCAACATCATTTCATCTAACACTTCACTGAAGAGGTCTCTGGAGGAAAACTCTGCACGCAGGCCTACCCCTCCATAGCAGGTGACTCTGTTACTGAGGACAGATACACCTGGGGAGGAAACAGTAGTGCTTGGGCCAACCACAATCAGATTCTTCTGCTTCATTCCTTTCCCTGGGCGCAGCCCTGAGAAGCCTCACCTACCAGCCTGGCCATGAAGATAGGAATCTTGTTATTTACACTTTGCAACCCCGAAAACCAAGAAGACAAAGATATGTTCCCTCTCCACAGCTCCCTGAATCCATGTGTGGATCAAAATTCTTTCCCCTCTCCCAGGGTGGGGGGTGGGGGGGGTGAGGTGGGGAGGAGAGGAAGGAGAACTTTTCTGGTGGTCCAGTGGATAAAAGTCCATCTTCCAATGCAAGGGACATGGGTTTGATCCCTGGCTGGGGAACTAAGATCCCACAAGCCATGAGGCAATTCAGCCCTGTGCCACAACGAAGACCCAGAGTGGGCAAAAAAAAAAAATCTTCTGTGGGGATGAATTAAATGACTTCATCAATGGTGCATATAAGCAACAGAATCTTATGTCCCCTGTGATCAGTAATTAATAAATATTTGTGGAATGGGTGAATACGACAATAAATATCTAAGAACAAAAAATAATGGTGTGTTTTATGTTTTGCTAACATGGAAGAATGTTCTTAACATACTATGAGAAAAATGACATTGTTGAACAAGAAACGCTACAGGATATTGTTTTAATACAGTATTTTTGCCTGAAAAGTGTGTGCATTTGTAGAAGAGAAGCTAGAAAGATATACATTAAAATGCTATCTTGGTAGAGGGATTTTAGCAATTTAATTTTTTTTTCTTTTTAATCTTTTTAAAATTAGTTTCTCTGTAATATTCCTATCTCAGTTGTTACCAAAATAATTAATGATGGCTAAATCAAGGCCTAGAAAACAAGTTTGTTTGCTCTCTAGGCAGCAGGTGCTTTTCCTCTATTTGACCAGTGAGAAAACACACCCAACATCTTGCAGTTGGCAAACAGCAGAGGTATAACCTGAAGCCCCACTGCCTCACTCCAGAACCTGAGCTTTGCTAATAAAAACCGATAAGACCAAGAGAGTCTCAGAATAATCTGGAAGCTATGTCTGAGATACAGATGTCAAAGCTGGGCTGGGAGGAAATCAGAAGCAGGCAGAAGGCACCTGAGCTGCAGCCTATTTGCACCTTCAGTTTTCTACATCTTGGTGCAAAGCTACTCAATACATTTGGATAATGCACAATTGTTTCATGAAAAGACAATTGTTTTAAAGTCATCCTGACAAGTGATTCACTGAGCTCTCTGTGTGAGGCTGGAGATTGGGGGAGGAGAGGCAGGTCTAAAACACCAAAAATGCATTACTTTTCCAGAAAACCACAAACTTTACTGCTTGTTCCAGGCTTGGACATCAAGAAGTCAGACCTGAAATAAATGTTAGCTACAAGCATCAGTCATGTACCTGACACTGGATTTCCTACCAGAGCTGAAATGCTGATTCCCGCCTATGGTGGACATAGATCTTGTGCTCAACAGGTATAAAGAAGAGGGATCAAGAGGACCCAGTGTTAGCCAGAGGGGGCGAGGGGAGACTTCTTTGGGTTTGATATTCAGGCTTCCCTTAAAAGTGATCATGGGGAAAAATAAGAGGACTGACATTCTGACTCCTACAGCTCTTCCATGGGAAAGAGAAAAGCTTCTATTGGAAGACTACACAACTTACAAGAAATCTGGACAGCGAGATTCTCTGGAACAAACGCCAAGAGGGGGATGAATTATTCAGTGTGCAGGGACGTGTCATTCAGAGAATCAGGATGAAGAGAAGCATTTTTAGCTGTACAAGGATTTAAACACACACATACACACATGCACATGTATATACACGTGTGCACCCACTCCTCATCCCAGAGAGAGGAACTGTCCATTTAAACCAATCCCCTCTGGGAAACTGTGGGTGCTTCTCTGGCCTGCCGTGTTTCCCCTTGGGCAAGTGCCAAGAATGTGAGCTGGGAAGAGATGTCTGCTTTCAGATGCGGCCAGGACTTGGGGGCCTGACTGCAACGCACAGCCCCCATCTTCTGATGATGCAATTCACCCCAATCCTGTCCGGTGCAGTCCCTGTCTCCAGGCTCCAAGTCCTGGGCTGCTGGAAACCAAGATCATGAAATCAAATGACCCAAATGCTAGCGGGGTGAGGGGGAGTGAGGGAGGGAGCCAAGAGAGAACCAGTTCTGCCTCTTCTTAATTACCAATCTCTGGAGGAACACAAACATCCCTGAATGTTTCACAACAGGCTCTCCTGGAAGAAGGGGCCTGGATGTGTTGCCTTGGAGACAGATAGTGCTGTGTGGGATCACCTGTCCAGGAATGCGGTCCCTGTCCTCTGTCCAGCTCCATGTCCCCACGACTGGCTGGCATTCGGTATTCAGACAGTGCGTCTTTTCTAAGGAGGCAGCTCAGAGAAGCGGAAAGCCTTCTGCCAAGTCTAACACTGGGTGGTGATTCTCTTGGGCCTGAAGAACGCGTAGCATATCTTTCATGTTCCTAGTGCTTCCCGAGCAATCTGAATGCTTCCCACAGTAACCTCTTTATGGCCAGCCAGCATGATGCTGGCCCCCGACCGGGCTCTCACCAGGGCCAGCTGGGCGGGATCACTTTCTAAAGGGCCCTGAGGACTACATGCCAAGAACTGTCCAAACTTTCAGCTGAGCCTCTCCTCTCAACCCCGGGCACAATGGCCAGGCCGGTTCTTCCTGCCCTGGGGTGTTTCAC